TGAGGGCAGGTGGGAACCTGCCCTCAAGGAAAGACCCATTTATTATTGCTGTTGCCCATTCAGTTGTTTTCGACTTGGCTCCTTTGATTAGCCAGGCCGAGCAAGGGTCCAAAGAGAAGGTGGTGGCCCGACAGCGGTCAAGCACCCTGGCTAGAGAGTCAGGTGTTACTTGCTGAAAGGAGTCAAAAATAACTGGACAGGACGGAGCACTGGACATCTCGGCTCGACTCGCTGCATTCGAAAAAGGAGAGAGCTCCTGGTGGATGGCCTTCACTTTAGATTTTAAAAATGCTGCAAATTGGTCCGGTGAAAAACTAGGGGGAGGCCCATCACCCAGACCAACTCCGAATAGGTCGCGCACTATGCGGAAAAGCCCTGCCTGCTGATTGGATGCTTCGCTTATCCGGTTAGTGAAGAAGGATCTACATGCAGCCTTCACCTTTTTCTGGTAAAGGTTAGTTGCGACCTTAACAGCTATCCTTATTCACTTCATCGCCTGAAGCTCCTGGTTAAACCAAGGCACCAGGCGAGTTCTGCGCCGGAGAGGGTGTTTGGGCGTGATCATGTCTACTGCTCTGGTGGCAGCGGCGAACCAGCTATCCACCAGGGCGTCGACAGGAGCGCTAGCCAAGTCAGCCGTAATCCCTCTCATGGCATCCTGGAAGCCGATCGGATCCAGTAGTCTTTGAGGGCGGACAATAGAAATAGGCCCCTGCTCCCTGCGGGGGGGGAGGGCCACTGTGAGGTTACATTTAATCAGGTGGTGATCTGACCATTACAAGGGGACTGACGCAAGGTCCATCACCATCAGACCACTCTCGCCCCAATTGGAGGAAAAGACCAGGTCCAATGTGTGACCACCCACGTGGGTAGGGCCGTTGACATGCTGGGACATGTTCAAGGAAGCCATGGTTTCCAAGAACTCAAGAGCTGGCCCAGTAACCTCTGCCTCCGCATGCACATTGAAATCGCCCAAGACCAAGAGCCTCGGGGATCCCAACAGTGCCACGGAGACAAAGTCGGCCAGCTCCAGAAAGGAGGTGGCTGGGCCGCAGGGGGCACGGTAGCCCAGCAAGATCCCAATTCCATCCCTGGCCCCTATCGACACGTGGAGTGCCTCTAGACCCGGCCTTACCACCGAGGAGCGCCTGGTAACCTCCAAGCTGGATTTATAAACAATGGCTACTCCCCCTGTCCTTCCAGTCTACCTTGGTGCTGGACATCATAACCGGACGGGCAGATGAGAGCCAGGGGAGGGCCACCCTCCCCATTAAGCCACGTCTCAGTTATGCATGCCAGGTCTGCATCCAGGATAAGATCTTGAATCACCTGCAGTTTGTTGGATACAGACCTGGTATTCAACAGCACCAAGGTTAGAGTGGAAGGCAGGCTGAACTGGCTACCTCGATATTGAGGATTGGCCACGGTCTCAGAACAGTGAACAGCCTTCAGACATCTGTTCACTGTTCTACTAACACGAGCAGGGACTGTACCAACACCATATCGTCTTCTACCCATGACCACCGGGATGTTAAAAGACCCCTCACTGAGTGCGAAGGCCTCCCACTCCATGCAAGACAAATGAAAGAAAAAAGGAAAATAATAATAATAATAACACAAATAATATTAGAGCTTAACAAAATACAGACAATATGTTATAATGCAAAATGTACCCTTCTGACCATGGGAGGTCAGTGATGTAGTCCAGAGATAATGTGTCCCAAGGGCCAACTGTTATGGGTAGTGGATGTAGCAGCCCTGGAGGTTTGGCTGGTATGTCCTTGGCTCGATGAAAAACTTCACAGGAATCGATGTAACGAGTGACGTCAGCATGAACCTGGGGCCACCAAAATTCCCATGTGAGTAGATGCAGAGTCTTATAAGGAGGGAATCATGGGTCAAATACAGCACGTTGGTTCAGAGGGGCACTGGAGGAACATACAGGCACCCTCGGTGCAATAGGAGACCCTGGTGGTTAGCGAAGTCTCCAGCAGGGCCCTCTTGGAGTTCCTGCAAGTGTTGCTTGGCCCAGGGATCTTGAGCTCGGCTGGCCCAAATTTCCTCAGCCAGGGACAAATGGATTGTAGGACTGAGGGTGATAAGATAGGTGCGGTGGGAGTCTCTTCAGAAGGTGACACAGCGTATTCCGGTTTGTGGGACAGGGCATTGGCTTTCCGATTCTGAGTCTGCAGGATATAGGTAATGCGGAAGTCAAACCAGGAGAAGAGGCACCATCTGATCTGGCGTTGATTGAGGCGTCAGGCTGTCTGCAAGTGTTCCAGATTCTAGTGGTTAGTCAAAACTTGGATGGGGTGACGGGCCCCTTCAAGGTAATGCCTCCAGACCTTGAAAATGGTTTTGATGGTCAGGAGTTCCCACTCCCAAATGGTGTATTTGCATCCTGAAGGTGTGAACTGCCAGGAATAATGCCTTAGTGAAACCTCAGAAATTCGACTAATTTCCAGGG